AGACTGCCGAAAGTCTGGACATTTTCAAAGCCGTAGGGAGGCTTCAAAGTCAGATGATTCTTTGCACATTTGTGATCAGTTAGTCCTGCCAAAAAGAGCTGTGTCATCGTAATTACAGCGTTTGACTGTGAAGATTCGTGATCGGGTAAATTGTCAGGACTTGAACCCATTACTTTACCAATTATGGTGCTGACAACTATGTTTAGAATCTGCTAGCTGAAAGGCAGAGGCTGTAGTACATAACACGTGTGAATTGTGTTTTAAATTGACAATCAGCATTACTGTAAGTACCGTGGCAAGCGCTAGCGTGAAACTCCTTGAATCATTCTTGTGTTGTCTTATTGTACTTAGTATTCCTATCATATGTTTTTATTTAGGACAGGGGCTTAGACTAAGAGAAATTCTTAGTCCTGTATCGCCTGTCCAGTTACATAGTTGTAACACATCATGTTCTTGCGATCAGCCATCGGGCATGAATTTGCAACGAAAGCTTTTACATTAAAAGCTGAAATAAATGAATAACGTTTAATAAAATAAATAAAAACAACGGTTAGTGTCCTCACATTTGTCGTCCCTTAGTATATTTCAAATCTAAGCATCTTGTTCTTCGGCCCTTCTTGTTTTTTTTCGCTCTCGCATGAGATTTAGGGTCTCCAGAGGACGTCATCCATAAATCAATCATAAATCAATCAATCAAAAACCAACAATCATAGCGCAGGTGTGTTGCAGAGGCTGCGAGTTGCTTACCATGATGCTTTCAAAATCATTATGTCTCAGCCTCGCTCCACTAGTAACAGCCTGTTCTTTGCCCAGTTGGGTGTCGACACCTTCGACGCCAGGAGGCGAAAGCTGACGCACTCTTTTGCGGCTCGCCTCCTGGCGTCGCGTAACGACACCATCAGTCTGCTTTTACGCTCTGATGCCTTCCCCAGAAGTCAGTTCTGGCGTCGATACTGCCAGTTGGTAATTAAGCAGACCTTAATAGGCTCTCGCTCAGCTTTTTTTATTCTAGACATTGTATTTTTAAATTTATGTATTTTGTGTTGTCTATGTTGTCTATGGGCTCTGCCTGAATCAAACAATAAATAAAATGAATAAATAAAATGACTTGGTGTGGCCTAGGATAAATAATGCCTTACCTGCTTGGTTGATGGCGTTGACCTGGACGTCCACGCTCTTCCGTCTGAGCAGCGCGCCGGCCTCGACGATCCCGCGGAAGTCGCCGGACTGAACGCTCTCCTGGAACATCACGGGGGCCGAGAACTTCACCCCGGAGGGTCGCCGGCCCCTCCGGCCCACGCCACCGCCTCCGGCCTGCAGCTGGTCCCCGGACGGCTCCTGCACCGCCACGCCGTTCCGCCGGCCAGGCATGCTCTCTGTGTGGGGAGGAGAAGACATAGGTGATGTGGTCAAACACACTGAGATTTCCGCAAATAATTTCATCAGGTTTGTAAACGAATGAATAGCAAAGTTCTTTGGTCACAACCATTCATTTTTTCACTAGCCGACGTTTCGATGACCGTCTGTCATCTTCATCAGGGCAATTCTGACTGCACTATGCACCAAGTAACATCTAGTGTCAGTGCACAGTAAACCAGTCAGAATTGCCCTGATGAAGATGACAGACGGTCATCGAAACGTCGGCTAGTGAAAAAATAAATGGTTGTGACCAAAGAACTTTGCTATTCACACTGAGATTTACAACGTTCTATATTACGAATGGAGAACGGCTAGCTCCCTGTGGGGGGAGGTGAGGAGAACTGTTTTTTTAGTAGCCTGGATGCCAGGCCCACGGCACACCATCCCCAAAGGGTATTACACTAGATAACTTTGGGCCTAGAGTGCTGTGGGTCTCGGGCCTAGTGTGCTGTAACGCACCATGGTTACGCCGGCCCGGCATGCTGTCTGTGGGGGGAGGAGAAGACATTAGCGATGGTCAAACACACACACACTGAGATTTACAACGTTCTAGTAATGGAGAACAGCTAGCAACCTGCTCCTCTGCCAGGCTACAGGCTAGCTGATCGGCTCCGGGGCCGTAGTGAGGACTCTAGGAGGTCCCGTATAGTCTAATACATGAGGTAGCCTGGGTGCCAGACTGTTGTCAGGGTCAGTCAACAGGCTAGCTCCTCGGCTAGCCTGGGTGCCAGTAGCTACTAAGCCTGGATGCCAGACTGTTTCAAGGTCAGTACATAGACTAGATTCTGGGCTCCATGGCTAGCCTGGGTGCCAGACTGTTCCCAGGCCAATATTCAGGCTAGATCCTCGGCTCCAAACCTAGCCTGGGTGCCAGACTGTTGCCAAGACTAGTATATAGCCTAGCTGCTCAGTTCCAGGGCCAAACTAATTGGGGGTTGGCCTTTGCATTGGCCCTGGACATAGTCTGGCATCCAGGCTATCCATTCTGAGGACGCTGAAGCTTTATAATTTTTCGCACCGCTAGCGCTGCAACCGACCGACCTAGGTGTGGCACCGGACTCACCCGCGCACACATTTGGCGCCCCGTCGCCATGCACTCACCCCCTCACTCACTCAGCCGACCGCGAACTCACAACTCACTGCCACCACCCGGCTCGTCTCAGCCGCGCACCCCAATAAGATTCACGCCGGGCCATTTAGAACGAAAACAGACCGCCTTAGCTTACCATCAGTCCAAGGAAACTGTTGTCAAGAAATGTTGGCAGTGCCTATATCTATACGTTGCCAACGTTTATTCTGAGAGAGGGGGGGGGGAATTCTACTTGCACGGCCACAGACAATTATTGGCCGTTATAAAGAACAGGTACTACTGTACTGAAGGCTTAGAGATCCATATTAAAACTTGCCTGAGACGAAACAGGCGGCAGTGTAAAGAACGGAGAAAAACTGACTTCAGAGACGCAATCTACGCGCGCTAATGCTATTAGATGGCCGTGTTGCGACGTTTTGGTTCTCTTGAAGCGGCAACAAACTTAGGGGGAATACAAATACAAAGGGGGCATCGGGAAACATCAATATACCTACCGTAATTGTGTCGTTTCGATCCAAATAAGGCAAGAAGAGAAGGACTCTATTGAGACATCATTTTCCTCGGCCAGATTAAGTTTGGTGACCCTTTATTCTAGGATTAGTGCCTATAGTTCCCGTCGTAAGGTCTGTTTGGTCTAGTTTATTCACCTGCATTCCATCCAGCCTGCCCGCTATGGTCCGTACACCTGGCAACAGAAACAACCCGGCGTAATATTTTCTTTAATGCCCCATTACGACGGGCTGAAGAAACACGCCATACCGCGTAATCAGTCCCTCGCCTACTCAATTCAAGTACAGTACTCTCCAAGCAGACGTGTACACTTCGGCTTATTTTTTGAAGTGTCAGGCCTTTTTTCGGGCTTCCTTTCTTGTACTGGCGTCTTTTTTTTACGCCCTGCGTCTTTTTTTTTACTGCCCTGCCAATTTGATAGTGTCTTGCAGCCACCAAAAGATCTGCTTGGTGATTACGCCTCCCCAAAAGGCGGCACTACCACACACTATACCCGTGGACGTGATTCTTGCCCTAACCCGTTTCATACAGACCCTTACATACAAGCCGATTACAAGGTCTTAACTCAAGAACTTTAGCAGCGGTGAAAAGGAAACAAACCAGCAGACCAACAGACGGCCGCGGACACACACAAACCGTCAGTACAGTAGACGAGGCGTATTTGTACAGCTAACAAACACACGGGAGAAAAGAACAGCAGAAGGTTCGTCTCGGAGCTCGAGGCTCCGCGCACGACTGCTGCCCGAGACGCGGCCGTCACATGAGGTACGTGTTTGTGTGCCGACAGTAAACGAACGATTTTGCACACAAACTGGGGCTCCCCCACTGGCGGTACGGAAACGATCACAATCAGCAACATCAAGACACCTTCCTTAAAAATCCAGTAGTTTTCGAAAGTAGGAGAAGCTAGCTGTAGACCATCCTACCTGTCACACATGAGTGTGTTTGTGTGCCGACAGCAAATGAACGGTTACACACACAAAACTGGGACTGCCCCACTGGCGGTACGGAAACAATGAGAACATGGAGAACCACAAGATATGTACAAATCTAGAAGTTTTTTTAAGTAGGAGAAGCTAGCTGTCGCTCATCCTACCCGTCACATCGGGAGTGTGTTTGTGTGCCGACGAATGAACGGTTACACACACAAAACGGGGCTCCCCACTGGCGGTACGGAAACAATGAGAACCTCAAGATACGTACAAATCTAGTAGTTTTCAAAAGTAGGAGTCGTGTGGCCGCGGTAACGGCAGAGCGTTCGGCTCGGAACCAAGAGGTCCCGGGTTCGAACCCTGCCATGTCACCGATCTTGTACCCTTGGGAAAGGCACTTGACACGACTTTCCTAGATGAAGGCCTGGCGAACCCCATGATCTCGTATTAGCCACAAAAAGGCAGCAGAATCTTCAGCTGGTTGAAGGCGGCTGCCTCAAAATTAAAGACAGAAAGAAAGAAAGAAAGCTAGCAGCAATTCATCCTACCCCTTCTTCCAGGTCCTCCTCCTGGAACAAACAGCCTCCTCTGCTGCGGCAATCCGTACCGACGAGCCATTGTGCTCCTGGTCGCCACCTTTTCTTTTTTTTCACCGGGAACGTTAAAACACGGGGGCCAAGTGCCGCCGACCCAGCCGATACAATCCCTGAACGCTCCTCTGAAAGGGTCCAGTGGAAACTGGAGCAAGTGGCAGCTCGCTGGCAGCTTTTGAGGCGCAGGAAACCGGAGCTCCACCTCTTTGTTTACGGAGATGTACACACAACATCCAATGATGTCAAAACGCGCCAAGCTGGCACGGCAACCCAACCCGGCCTTCTTAATCGTTAATGGGGACATGCACGTCACTGACTCCAGCTTTTTCGTGTTAAGATAGACAAAAAAATTAGAGATATTTGCCCCGACAACCCTCGTCTTACCTGACGATACCCAGTCACACCTTATGTCAGGTCGGCGCAGCTTGCCCGTACCTCGTGGCGAGTGTGGATTAGTCTGGGGGCACCGCTGTCTTATGTAACCGTCTCCCGTCCCACAGGTAACCAATACATCCGCCTTTACTCGTGTTTTTGTTGATGTTTTTCAAAGTTGTAGTAATGGCTGTGGATACGGGTTACCGGTAAACAAGGACGGAGCACTCATGGGTTCCCAGAAGAGAGGGGTGGGGTTACTTGGGGTTACATGTCCGGGGAAGTTGAATCTCCAAGCAGACCTTTTCTTCTGGTGGCTGCAAGACAGCATCAAATTGACAAGACAAGACTTTATCATTAACTTTAACTTTATTCATAAAAATCAACATAGCAGTAGTACATGGTACAACTGAATTGTGTTGACCTAACAAAAAGTAAACACGAGTCAACTTAGCAAAAGTACATTAGAGACATCACAAACACTTACATTATACACAGAGGCACTAAGCCTTCATTTGGCTGTTGTATAGACGGATTGAGTAATGTAAGAATGAATTATACATTAGTAGATCTAGGAAATATCCAATACACCATCCAAAGTTTGACTGGTGGAAAAAAAGATACTAGTACAAATAAAAACGTCTAATAAAAACACGTCAAAAATGCACCGAAGCCTGAACCTCTTATTGGAGAGTTATGTCCAAGAGGATCTTTTGGTGGCTTCAAGACAGTATCAAATTGACAAGACAATATCCATTACGCCATCTGAACTTTGGCTTGCGAAAAAAAGATACCAGTACACAAAAAAAAACCGATAAAACGCCTAATAAAGATACGTCAAAAATACAGCAAATTTGAGAGTAATCTCCAAGCAGATTTTTAGGTAGCTGCAAAGACAATATCAAATTGGCCAGGCAGTATCCATTGGCCAGACAGTTACCATTTCCCACCCTGGACGACCGAGGACTCTCTCTACATGTAGATGGCCATGCAGTTCTAAAGCGTAACGCTTTTGCCGCCAGACATCTGCTTAGAGGTTATTTGGAGAGCACCGAATCATTAGCGCCAGCATTTCTGTAATGAACCACTTCGGTTGTGTATCCTTGGAGAATAGGGGACCTCTAATTAGTCTAGTATAGGACTCACGTGGTACAAACAACAGGAAAAGGACGATGAGTTCAAAACAAACGAAGCAGTTCACGCCCTTCCGATACTAAAAGGTCATCTCGAAAACAGAACCGAAGTTGTGTTAAAGACACTATTGGGAGCGACGGTGTGAGTATGTGCCAAAACCGAAGGCTGCGAAGGCTGCCAAAATTGCTCTCCTTGTCCCAAATGGATCAGTTATCGACTTGATGAAAAGAATGTAAAGAACAATTAAGTGTAAGAGTGCGCGACTTAATTTGTGGTAAAGGTTGCCCCTCCCCCATCGTCTCTGGTACAAAAAGACCAACTCTGCTACTAACTGGCTAAATGTTCCATGAGAATTTATAATCGACGACAAAAAACATTAAACTAAATCGGAGGCCAAATGATAATGAGATTTTTCGGTAACCAAGATAATGGGTGGATAGTATCCGATAGGTAATACAGTATCCAATAGATTATAATTATATCGAAGGCTTCGGTAGCCAATATTGGCTACTGCCTTGAGTATTGGATACCGCCTCGGCTATTGAATACTGTCTTGGCTACCGAAAGATCTGCTTGAAGATTAGCCAGATGCAACATCTGCACATCTGCCGGATTCCGAAGTTGGCACAGGTACAGGTATACCTGCCGGCACAGCAGGAGATATCTGTGGTATCATGATTTTATTTATCTATTTGCACAAATAAAACATTAATCAACAAATGCAAAACAAAGAAATAAAAAAAAAACACTCAGGAGGAGGTGTACAGGAGGAGGAAAGAAGCCTATATAAGGCTTGTACAATGTCCTCCTTAATTTCGGGGTAGCCGTAAATCGGATGGCACCTAGGCTATAGCGGTGGACCGAATAAAGTTTCAAAGTTTCTGACGATGAAGAAGATGCTTAATCCTGTTTGTCTACCACAATTCGTACAATGGGATTGCCGCCCTTTCAAAGATCCCCATTGACATGCATGATGCATAACGCGTACACAGCTTACAAGGCCAGGGGAACCTGTCGGGTACAAGGCCAAGACACGACCTCGGAGTTGACACCAACGGAACTCTGAATCAAATCTGAAGTAACTGTTACTTTGATATCTTGTTACCTGGATGTCTAACCTTCATCGACGTGGCTACTGAGTAGGCTATCAAGGACAGAAGTAACAACAGTAAAAGAATATGTATTTCAAAGATATGAAAGTAAAAGTTATACGAGCGTGATTTATCACATTAAGGTCATGGGAAGGAAAGAGGCTGGTTGTCTGTTTGGAACTTCAAGGAAAGATCAAGGACGAAAGAAGCTTGTTGTCATTCTGACGCGGCCCGTAGTGAAGACAGTGAACTCTCCCTATGAAAGTTATATGAAAGCAAAAGTCATGTAAGAGTGTGTTTTGTGGTATACGTGTCTCACAGCCATGGAAAGAAAAAAAATTGTTTGTGTGAAACTTGGAAGGATCAAGGACGAAAGGAGAACAGCTTGTTGTCATTCTGTGGTCTCGCCCTGTAGTGAACCAGGCCTCCACGTGACTGTGGACATTGCCAATACGATTGACCCAATTCTGTGGGTGGTACGATTGTCACCCAACCCGGCCGTGACGGCCTCAAATATATACACACATCGATACTTCTTCCGTCCCTCTCTTATCCACCGGGCGAAAACGTGAGTCGACACGTGCTGTATTGAGTAGGGCGGTTTCGGCGGTTTCAACACAAGACAAGCCCCTTTGTATCCTATAGGTCATTGAACTCTTGTTTACACATAGGACCCAACTCCACATCTCCGTAAACATCTAATGTTGCCACTGACATTTCATACTCCACTGCATACAAAAAAGAAATCAAACCCAACAATAATTTTATCAAAAGTAGCATTAGCATTACCTGTTATCATTTTTACTGTTTATTATTTTATCATGTTCTGGCAATTAGCTCTCAGGCATGGATTTGCAATAAACTTTCATATACTAGTATATTCTTTGTGTAGTTTGCCGCACACATATGTTATTATGTGAGTAGCATGACGTTATTTCGCTTTGTTCGATCTCAGTTGTAGTAGACCATACGGAAGTCCCTGTACTTTTGTCGAGTCAATAAAGAATCACATTAATAGATATCTCTCTATACAAAATTTACGGACATCACACTATATATACTAGTGTGGAACACTGCGTGAGATATCATTGTGCTTTATACATGACCCGTACATCTGTATCTGTATAGCCGGTATAACCGACTTTCGGCGTAACACACCAGCTTCGCAGGCACGCGGCGCGGCGGCAGCTGGCTATATTACACCGATCGACTTGTTACACCTAACCCTTGAACTTCTAGCTCTAGACATTGTTTAAAGCTATCTATTGACAATGCCCCTACTGTACTTGGTGACAGTGAGTTCCACTCTGCGATAGTTCTAGGAAAGAATGAATTCTTGAACACCTCAATCCTTGGTTGATAACTCTGGTACTTGAATGCATGGCTATTTCTTGTTCTCTTCTGGGCTGGTATTAGGTACTTAATAGCTGTATCGATGACCTTTATTGTACGTTTATACACATACTAGTGTGGAACACTGCGTGAGATATCATTGTGCTTTATACATGACCCGTACATAGTTTGTAAGAACATAGACGTACAATCAAGGTCATTCATCCATCTCCAAGCAGATGTTTTGATGGCTGCAAAGACGATATCATATTTGCCAGGCAGTATCCATTTGCCAGGCAGTTACCAAAGACAAGACATCAGTACAAAAAGAAAGCCCGATACTCACGTCAACAATAAGCCAAAGCCTAAACCTCTGCTTCTTCGGGAGAATACAATCTCATCCCAACCCTCGGCGTGATTAGGCCACACCAAGTAAATTTTATGGATGACGTCCGCGCGCGCATTGATTTTGGCCTGTTCCTAGAAAAAAAAACAAGAAATTCCGCTTCCTGTAACTATGACCAAAGAGTCACGACAGTGCCGCAAATCGTCAGATTGATGTGAAACCCGTAACGCCGAAAGCCTGTGCCTGGTTAAAAAATGGAAACAAAAATGAAAAAAAAAAAAAAAATGGCACTGAAAAAAATCCTGTCAATAGTGCCGTTTTTGGAACGATTAACAGACAGGACGGTCCTGTCAGCAGTGCAATATTTCTTATCTAGGCATCTTGTTTTTTAGGGCCCTTCTTGTTTTTTTTTCGCCCTCTCGCATTAGATTTAGGGTCTCCAAAGGACGTCAGCAATAAAATTTACATGGTGTGGCCTTAGGGGGGACTCACTGGGTGCTCAAGTCTTGTGTGCTCGACAAACAGTCGCGATATCGTCCTAGAAAACCCTCGTCCCGTCAGTAAACAGTTCAATCGCATATAGAACATCAACCAGCTGATAATGCCTGGCTGGGAGTTTCATTGATTCATCGATCACTATTATATAAATCCGATTTTCACGGTCAAATCGAACAAAATCATAAGACATTTCAATGGGAAACGTGCCAGACGTTTTGGTGTCCGTAAACAACAAAAAAATTGCAACAACGTCGATTCGAACGTCCGAACCTGGTATTCGAATTTTCGAAAGAGACACAAGCGAAACTCGTTCGAATCATTCTACGTTTTAATACTTTCTCTAGATATTCACATTCTCAAGTCAAGTACAACAGATTTCAAGAGATTCGATGCTTGAATATATCTTTAAACGCAATAACTCCCACAATGCAAAACTATATAGTAACGGGGGGTG